AAAGAAAACTATATATATATATATATATATATATATTAGTTTATCTAAGATTTTATAGATTATTCGGTTTTTATATATATGATTTTCTTAATATTTGGGGTTGTAAATATCCTTTAAATGTCTACTGTTGTATAAACTTTTGAATAACAATACAGTTGATATTGTTTAACTTCAATTATATAAATCCGATGATTGTTTAAAAGATTAAGATATGGACCCCAATAATATAATTAAATATAAATATATGTTTATATACTTAATAAACAATTTAAATTTATCAACATGAGATGAAATACAACTGCTTTAAAATGAGTAAATATAATATTTTGATTATAAATGCCCTTTAAAATGTCTAATGTTATATTGCATACTAATATGATTGAAATTGTTTTACGACAAATACACAAATATAATCATTTAAAAGATTAAGATATGGACCCAATAATATATATTAAAAAGAGTTTGTTTATTTACTTAAAAACAAATAAAGTAGTCAACATTATCCAATTATATATTCAACAAAAAAAAATCACAAAATTATCCGAGTCAAACTCGAATCGGATCTGAATACGCCATCCAAAGTAGCATAGGTGTGTCATAACTTACACAAACTATATGTTTATTTTATAAACAATTATATTCTTATTCATTGAGCACTACTTATTATTAAATTACAAGATACAAACAACACTTATCCTATTTTTTTTTTCCTCACCATTTTAGGAAGAAAAAGGGTAGAGGAAGAAATGGCAACTACTAGAGAAACAACAAAAAAGGAAAGAGGCTATTTGCAAACCTAATTAGCAATAGACAATAGAAGAAAAAGAAGAAATTATTAACATGCCAATTGATCTCTAAAGGAAGAGATTTCTTCAAAGATGGGAAGCCTTCTTGATCTATTTGTGTTCCATTCATTTAGCAAATCATCTATGCCTTTCACAAAGTCATCATCAAGGCCAAAACTATCCATAAACTGAGGTTGGGGAATGTTAGCATTCAACTCTTCAAGCAATTCCTCAGCTCTTTTTCTTGATTTGATTTCTTCAGACCCTGCAAGTTTTCCATGCAAAACTTGTTCAAGAATGTAGTAAGCTTCCTCATAACGTGATTGTCTCATAAGGCATAGGACCAAGTTGCAAGCCTTATTGGCATCAGCATCTATCATTTGGGCTTTCTTGAACACAACCTCAGCCATCATGTAGTTTGCTTTTTGCATGTAGGCCCAGCCCAAGTTTCCCTGCACCATCAATCAATTAATTCAAATCTTGTTTCATTTCATGGTAAAATAAATATTGAAACCTGAAATTCATATCTTATCCTAAATCCCAACAATTAAAGGAAAATATTTATTTGACCAATTTTGGTTTAATTTAGGGGCAGGGTAGGTTACCCTGTGGTGATGGTAGGCCAAAGATTCTAACCCATCTCCCTTAAGGATGGGTCTGCCTACAAAAAATAAATAAATTTAAGACTTAAGATTTTTATTTTAAGACTAATCCAAATTAAAAAAAAATTAGTTAAATAATTTAAAGTATATAAATAATCTATTATATATATCCTAAAATAATTTTTCTTTATCTCGTTATATAGAAGAAAAAAATTAACTATATTTTAAAACTTAAAATTATAATATAGTATATTTGATATTTTCTTCCTAATGTTAGGCAATCTTTTAATTATATGTTGCAAACATTTTCTTAGTAATGGTTAGTCATACACTAAAGTGTAATAATTAAATTTAAAACGCATTACACATTTATAAATAATAAAAAAGAGGTGGCTTCGCCTCTTCTAATTTAATGAGGCGGGTTACGTATGGTTCCACTCTATTTGGTGGACTTAATATATTAAAAGTTTTATATTAATTAGTCATATGATCAAATAAATTATCTCTGTCCTCTAATTATATAATCATTTCAATTAAATTATATTATTTAAGAAAATTAATTAATTTAATTAAGAGTATTAAATTTATTAATAATTTAAACTACTTTTTCAAAATTAATATATAATTTTTTTATTTAATAATTTTTCACCTAATTAATTAATGTTTACAAGAAAAATATCTGAGTTCATTTATCCTTTTCAAACGTAGAAAATTTTTCTATTCAATTAATTTCAAGTATTTATTATCTTTTGTTTAAAAGTATTATTAATTAAATAAGAGTATTTTAGAGACGATATACTTAATAAATATGATAATTAGAAGAAAGTCTTATAAAAATAACCAAGAAAAAAATGAACATAATTTTATATATAAGAAAAGAGGTAGTAATATATATATAAGTAAAGGTAATTATCACTTTATAAATCAATTTTATAATATTGAGTTAAACTTTAATCTACTTTCTTAAGATGATATTAGAGTTTAACTTAATAATTATTGTTAAGTCTAATATGTCACTCATTATCAAGTTACAATTAAATCACTTACTAATCTTATAACCTTCACATTTAAGATATTTAATCTTCAACATAAAGAATTGTATTGAATAATTCATATCCACTAATAATATGGTAAAAATAAAATATATAAACGAGGTAATTTTCACCTTATTACTGGTGGAGTAATCTCAACAGTTGAATATTGGACTCTACCATGGCTAATTAATTTGTTTGATTAAACCAATGATACGCAGCTGACCATTGTATTTTGTTTTTTTGACACTCTAATGATATGTTTCTTATGGTTACTACATAAGATAAGTTTTTCTCATTGAATTGATAAAAAAATAAATAAAATCAATTATTTTGTTTTCTTACTGTTAATTCTTGTGTATCGATCCTATTCCCGTGAAAGTTAAAGCAAAAAAATATTTTAAAAGCTTTGGCACGATGCTTTCTATGAGAATTTATATCAGATTCAAAGCTGGCTGCAGTAATTTAAATATGAAGAGCTAATTACAAATGGTTAGCAACAATGTTATGTATAGTAGCCTCAGACTTGAATTATGTTTTCATTATCTGTTTGTATCTTTTTGTGATGTGCATTTATTTTTTTCAAGTTTCAACCTAAGCAAAAAGAAAAAGGTTGTGAAATTAAACTAAGCATAGAAATAAGTTAGGTAAAGGTACCAATAATCTTGCAGTTTCTTGCTTGATGGAAACTTGGAACTTCTTGCCATGAGAGCGAGCAGTCCTTGTGGTCCTTCCATTGAAGGCCTCGCCTTGGTAAATTAGTCTTAGTTTTCTCTTTAACAATTCAATTTGTTCATCTATTTTGCCACATTTCTGTCTTTCAGGAAAACTGAATTAGATTCATCAAACAATAGTTTAATTAATTAATAATTTTTTTTTAACTTAAAGAAGCATATAAATCATACCTTGTATAGGTCAAGAAGTACATTATCAAGTGACTCTTGTGAGTGTTTGGAACAAAGGCCTCTGAAAGATTTGATTGCTTCAATTGCTTCTTCAGCTCTATCTAATTGTTTCATCACAACTGCCATGTCTTTCAAGGCACTGTCCACTTTATCTCCAGCATTTATTGCCTTCCAAAACAATACTATAGCGTTTTCTGGGTCCTTCTCAACCAACTGAGATCATGTGCATTTTTTTTTTCAATGAAAATAATAATTGTCAATTAGTATATTATGCTATGATTATAATGTATCAATTGATATAATCAAGAGATTTGGTTAACTAATTATAGTTATATGTGGCTGTTTAGATACAAATTTAAAAGTACTCTAAAGAATTTATTTATCAAAAATTATTTTATATTCAATAAAAAAATTCAAAAAAAATATTTATAACTTGTATCTAAAAAGGATCTTATAAATATATAAGATAGTGAAAACATGATTATTAAATATATTTCTCATTAATAATCTTGTATTAACGATTAAAGATTAAATATCTTCTCACTATAATGTTAAAAGATATTATAAATTTATAATGATATTTTGAATTTTTGTTCCTATCCCTCTTTTTTCCTTTAGGCCACTATTAGACTCTTGCTAAGAATATGTATTGTATTGAGAACTAAACTTCAAAGTTTGGCCATCTAAGATCATCTCTATAGTGCCCCATAAAAAGTAAAAAGATGAAATTTTATATCATATGAATAACTTCAAAACATAAAAGGGAAGTATAAAGAAAAGATAATCGTTGAATTTCTAAGATTTTATGAATCTTGCAGAAGCATCACAAGCACCAGATCTGAAACATGTGTTGGAAAAGGAATGTAGATGTTATAGTACATACTATGGTCATCATGGCAGATAAACTACAACTAAAAAAAAAAAAAAGACCTACCACTCAACTGAAAGTCAACAATACACAGTAGTTCATTACATGAACATGTTTTTGTATACTTTCTTGAGAAACAAACAGAGCATCTCTTGTTTTGGTTTGATGCTATGCAAACTGATCCAATTCCAAATAACACTATTTTCAGCAAGGCAGTAAAAGCTTTTCTATTTCTACTACAAAATCTGTCTCAAGTCTCAACCCCAAAAGTATGCAAACGACAGCATACACTACAATTACTTTGAAATATTGCGAATTATAACATAAAATTAAGGGAAATAAAAATGGTGCAGTTATCACGTAATTGGCTATATATATATATATAAATAGTTTCACAAATGTAAACATACACCAAATCAGTGTTCCAACTTAGAAAAAGAAAAGTGAATCAAAATTGAAAAGGGTGAGCATATACCTGGGCATGTTTGGCTTTGACATAAGGACTATCTCCATAAGGTACCTTATGAATAACATGATAAAGATCATCTCTCTTTCCC